TTTTTTTTTTTTTTTTTGGTACCAGGAATCAAACTCAGGACCTTGCGCTTGCCAGGCAGGCGAGGTGCTGTTGCACTACATCCCCAGCCCAAGAACAGTTCCACATTAGAACCCAGCCTGGACAATTCATAGACTCAGTGAGATTCTGTCTCAAAAGGAAAATAATGATATTAACAAGTGACATGAAATAGCTGGGGATATAAATGTTCGATCCCCAGTACCACCAATAAATAAATACATAAATAAAATCCTTGATCAAGAGGAAGTACGAGAGAATGTAGGAAACGTTTAAAAGAGATTAAAACTGAAGGCAAAGCAGTCACGATGTTTCCTGGGTGTTTCTAGCACAGTCCTTATTTTAGAGAAAAGGAAGGTCTAATGTCGCCTCAATAACCTAGTAAAGGAAGAAGCGAAACTAGGGAAAATAATGGAGATAAATAAACAAACCCCAAATGAGACAGACTTCCAAGCCCAGAGTGTAGCCGTGAAGTGGGAGACAGGGTCGCTCTCCCTAAAAGCATAAAATCGGACCTGCTCCGCCGGTGGGGAGGTGGGCAGGGTGAGGTGCGGGCCTTGGAGGGTATCAGGGGAGTGAGCTCTGCTAAGGCAGCTGCTGACTTAGATAGCACATTTTTCTCTCTCTTTCTCCCTCCCTCTCTCTCTCTTTTGTCTCCAGTACTGGGGATTGAACTCTGGACCTTTCAAGGCAGGTGTGGTGCCATTGAGCTACATTCCTGGCCCAGCAGATACATTTCTTAAATGAAGTAATTTGTGGGCTGGAGATTTGGCTCAGTGGTTCCACTGTCTGCCTTGAAAGCCCAAGGACCTGAGTTCGATCCCTGGTACCAACCAACCAACAAACAAAGTGAAGTAATTTGCAAAATTTCCCAAGAAGAAATAGAATACTCAAGCAGGCCTCTATAGATTTTAGAAACTGAAAACTCCAGGCTGAGATGCGTTCACTGGTGAATGCTGTCAAATATTTAGAGAAGAAATAACCCCATTGCTATACTTCCCAACCTGATTCAGGGTTCATGTCTGCACTGATTTCCAAACCAATGGCATCCAGGAAAAACAAACAGCTCAATGCTTCTCTAGAACAGCGATACAAAAATCTACAACCAAGAGTTGGCGAGCTGATCCAGGGAATGTGTATGCAAAGGCTGCTCCATCAGGACCAAGGAGGCTGCAGTCAGTCAAAGCAGAGAAGGAAAACAGACATCTAAGTGCCACATAGAAAAAAAAAAAAACAAAAAAAACAAACCAAGAACATTAAGGCTGCAATCCTTGTAGGCTGGGAGGCTGAGGCAGGAGGATAGCAAGTATAAGCCCAGACTGGACAACTTAACAACTCAGTGAGACCCTGTCTCAAAATCAAAAAAGGGTCTGTGGATGTAGCTCAGTGTGAAGGCTCTGGGTTCAATCCCCAGTACAGCAAATAAATGAAATGAAAATAAAGTGAAAAACATTGAAAGAATATATTTTTTTTCCTTTTGAGCTGAGGTCTTATTATCTTGTCCAGGCTGGTTTTAAACTCCTGGGTTTAAGTGATCATCTTGCCTCAATCTCCTGAGTTGCTGGAACTGCAGGCATGCACCATTGTGCCTGGCTACACCACTTTTGTGTGTTTCTTTCTCACTTTGTAGTTCAGGCTTCCCCTGAACTTACTATGTAGCCCAGGCTGACTCATGGAGATCCTTCTGCCTCAGCCTCCCGAGTGCTGGAATTACAGGTGTGCGCCTCCACACCTGGCTCCATCACTCTTTAAAGACAAAAACCCTTAGGAGCAGAAGAGAACATGTTCTGCTGCGTGAGGACATTGTAGGAACCTGACTGCACCTTGAAGTAAGTGGAAGCCAGGGAAGATGTCTGCCTCTGACCCTCCACCTGAGGACCTGGAGGCCCCGTAGGACAAGAACGAGAACTACAAAACACTAATTTTAGAGGGATAGAAACTGTCTGGATCTGCAGATTGTTCAGAATCATTCTACATAATTTTGGGGAAAATCACTTCAGAATTAAATAATGATTAGGACTGTTTGAGCCTAGTCTTCTTGCGGACTGGCTATCGCATGCCAGAACATAGCTCTATTCTGTCTCCAGTCATGGTTCAAAGGTCCTGTGGTGCTGATGCTCAAGGGCGAGACTGCATCAGCTGAAGATATCATGGCTCTTTGAGAACCGAGTAGTAAGAGAAAGGTCTCACCCAGGAAGGACAAATCCCTTCTCAGCTTAACTCACCTACCTACTGTTGTATGAATGCCTTGCTCACCTCACCAGCCTCATCAACATGAGCTCTTCACTGACCTATGGTCCTCATCAGCACAAGATCCGCGTGGTCTTAGGATTCCTGCCACCCTCAGAGTCATCCGATACTCCCTCCGATTATAAGATCCTCGTCAATTTAGGGTTATTGCAGCCTTCTGAGTCGTCTGATACTCCCCATGAACCCAGGAAATAGAGGCAAGCCCCGAGTGCCTTTGTCTTTGCTGCCCAGAGCAGCATCCATCAGGCCCCAAACCCAGCTCTCCTTCGAGTCTCATTTCCTGTCTTCACTCTTTAATTATCCCTGTGCTCTTGTGGCTCACAGGAGACCAGGACCCACTGCAGGGGCTCTGGTAACATCCCCATTCCTGTTCACGTAGTAACCCCACAGAAACCCCCAAAAGCTACTAGAAAAGTAAGTGAATTTGGCGACATTGCCAGCATACAAGCAGATTGTATTTCTGTATAATAGAATTTAAGTTAGAGAGAGTAACTTCATGATAATAGAATCAAGAATGAAGATTAGCAACAATTATGTAAGATATGCTAGCCAAAAACCACTACATATTAAAAAGCAAAATTGAAAGACTCAAATAAGCTATACACCATGTTCATGGTTTAAAGTTTAATATTGGCGATATCATCCTCCCCAAATTTATTTAAAGTCAGTGCAATAGCTATAAAATTCCTACCATAAATTTCTTTTTGGAAGAAATTAACAAAAGCTAATTTAAAAATTTATGTGGAAAGGCAAGGGCCTAGTAAGCCGAAAACAGTGTTGAAGAAGAAAGAGTTGAAGAGCTGAGGCAGCCAACTTCAAGGCTGACTCAGGAGATGACGTAAAGCAGTGCTGGCCAGGGATGGACAGAGGTGCAGGGACACAGTGCAGTGTGCAGGGACAGTGCCTTGCTCCTGTGGCCCCTGGACACTGACCCGGGCGCCGAGGTCATTATGTGGTGGAGGTGTCCTTTGAACAAGAACCGTGGGTGCCTCTCTCCTATGTGGGAGAAGCAAAC